GGGAGCGGGGAGCAACAAGTTCTGCCCCAGCGCCCCGGGTGTCCTGGTGGGCCCGTGGGGGAGGCAGCGGGCTGGCAGGGGGATGGAGGTGCGATTCGTAGGGAAGGGCGGTTTCCCAAATGCGGAGTTTGGCCGCGTTTCGGCCGGAGCCCGTCCTCCAGAAGATGGCTGAAGGGTGCCGCGCCAGCGGCCGCCGGAGCTGTGGGGGCTGGTGGCCGCCGTTGGGACCGTTTTCGCCTGTGTGCTGGGGGGGGGAGAGCCGGGGCACGGCTCCCGGGTTCTGCAGGGAGGGGTGAAGTGCTCTTGGCCGAAGACCGAGCGGCTTTTAGCTTTTACCTGCCGGGCACGAAGGCTGAGCAGCTTCACGCTTGTGAAAGTGGAGAGGGGTAGTTCGAATCCGAGAGTAGTCTGGGCGAAAGGGAGAGGAGGTTACCCCTTGGGATGTACCGACGTCCCCTGCCAACGCACAAGACTGACAGAGCTTCAGCGCTGGTCGTCTGTGCTGTTGTTGGCCATGCGGGACGAAGATTCTTCCGACGGAACTTTCCAAACAACTCCCTGAATTTACGCGGTATCCCGCCTGCCACTCCTCTAGTGATCTTTGCAGAGATTTGGGGAGCTAAAGCACTTTCAGAATCAAGTGTCGATATTGGCTGAAAGCTCTATACTTCCCTAGTGTGGCGAGTACAGGGTAGCATCAGCGTTACGTATTTACACCGCTTACGGTAAATATCCGGAGTAACATCTGTACTGTTCCTGGCGAAGCAGTGAGGAGAAATCTAACGTGAAGAGCTCCCTTCTGTTTATGCAACTTTTGCCCTCAGATTCACGGGTACAGCTTTATTTCAACTGCAAATTTTATACCCTGGTGTAAATGTCAATAGTTGGACTCTTCTAGCTGATTGGTATCTAGAACAAACCCAAGCTGGAGACCAGCTTATTCAAGCTGGAAAAGCGTGCTTTGGGTTAAAAAGCGCAGATGCAACTTTACAGTTGCCTTTCTGCATGCCTTGTTGTCTTTGTAATCATGCTGCAGATTTTGACAATGGTAACTTAAGCCTCGAGTTGCAATTCGCATGCATCTTTACTTGAACTACTCTCTGGGGGCCATATAGTCAGCAGATGGACCTAGCCTTTTAACGAAAGGCTGAAAAAACTGAACTGAAAAAATGTGAAAGTGCTCTATTTGAGATGTTTTTTTTTACATTTCTGGTTGGTTAATCTAAACAAAGGTAGCATTTACATCTTAATCTCTGGCTGTCTGTGGGCAGACTGTCCTGTGCCATTCTGGACCTTCAGTGGGAAGACACTTATGAGCAGCTGAATAAAAACTTTTGGCCTAAATCTTTGCAGATCGTAGAGATTAGATCTGTACCTTCTTCCCTTATTTCTTTAACGAGCGCACCTTTTGGTATGGGTTTCTGTTTGAAATCTACAGGAATTTAAAATACGTCTCACCATTGCAGAAAACAGTCTTCAGCCAAGCAGTTTGCAGCGAGGCTCCACTTATAAAGCCCTGCGATACCTTGTCTAGTTGCTAGTGCTCTACACAGGACCTCGATAGTCCCGAAGTTTATTCCCATTTCTGCTGCTCTCCTGCTGGGATGAGTTTGGGCAAGTCACTTTGTCATAGTTTCACCACCTGCAAAACAGACATTCATCACTGGCTTCATTTGTAAAATGCTTTAAGGTCTGCTAACATATATAGGACTATATAACATTCATGTGTTCTTATCCTTGGGGCAAGGAGTGCAGGATGAAAACCGGTGAGTTTAGTTGGCCTCTTTTAACGTACCCAGGTTCCGGATCCTGCAGGCATTGGTGCATGCAAGTAGTCTCCATCACTCTTAATGGGCCTACCTATTTGCTCTGAAACCTCTCCAGAAACAGAGTAAAGGTAATTTATACTGTGTGTATTGGAGGGTCATTGTGATAATTTTTACTCCTTTTTATTTTCTCCACGGGCACAAGAGGCCGCTTCGCTGTTGTTGGTTTGTGAGCGAGAGTCCTGATAGCAAGACTGGCTCTTCCATACACCAGATCAAGGTGCTGTCATTCCAGCCTTTCCCTCTCCTCACTCAGTTTTGGGGTTTGTACTTTACTGAATGGACTAGAATGAGTTTAATGATGCTTACAGGCATACATTCTCCATGAGATAATAGACATTAGAAGTCAGTGTTGTAGCAGGGAAATTCAGTACACCTGGGAATCATATGCTGCTCAGCCGAGATGCTGTGCATTTACGGTAAAAGCACTTTAACACATTTTGGCTCTACAGGTTTTTATCTTGGTGTTCTTAATGTCACTTTTTCTGAGTACTTATTGGAAATATTTCTTCCTCAGATGCATTTTCCGTAAGCTTTTCACGCTCTTGATGTGGGTTTATTAGATTTTGCATGAAGTTCTCATTATTGTTGTGTTCTTCTCTCCCATGTTTATTTGACTTGGAGCAAGGAAGAATACTGAAAAGTGCAATCTAATGGTGGGGGCAGGAACGGATGACTGTAAGATACAGATGATGTGGTTTGCTTCTCTTTCCCGGTTTTCCATTCAGTACCTCTATAAAGATGCATCACACATCCAACAGTTGTATATGCATATTCAGCACACAAGGTTTTGAGAGCCCTGATGCTTAATGATGGCTAATGCGGGCAAATGCTGAGCCCTGCGGGAATGGAGGTCCCTTGCCATTCCGAGAAACCTGTGCAAACCCCAAGGTGCTGTTTGCGTATGACAACTTGTAGAAATTGGAGCCTGCTTTTGTTTAAATATAGGCACAGAGTTTATTATCTCTCCAAGCTGTAATGGTGGAATGTAAATATTTGAATTGATTTGTGAGTCATGTTAGATGTCACGTATCAGATGGCCTGGTAGCAAAATGAATAGAAACTCATCCATATTGTGGTAGAAATTAACGTAAGATTGTCTTTATATTTCATTGATTATTGCCTAAAGTTAAATAACAAACAAAAATTACACAATATTTAAAATTGCTTTTTCTCTTCAGCTGCTGTATTTTTTTTAAAGATGGGACTTTCTTTTTGGGTTTGAATTATCTTACTCAGAACTTTTTGTTCCAAGCTTGTTGCATTATCAGGTACATAATGTATATTTGGGTTCTTTAAACAAATAATCCAACAAGACATCTGGTCTGTCGTAAGGTGTTCTGTATTTAATGAACCTGGTTTGCTTCTGTATGCCATGTGATGCTGGGAGCTTCAATAATTTAAACTCTTTTTTTTTTTTTTTTTTTTAGAAATTATTAAAAGAGGGCAAAACATCCTAAAACGCACTGTTAGATTTTTAATGTTACTGCTTAAGTATCACATTTTGTTTTGATGCATGATTACTGTTAGGAAATTCAACACATCTCCAGGTAGGAGCATGGGAAAGCATTCAGTCACTTTGAATCAGGGACCTTGTGCCTTTTGGCTTGCTTCAACAGGATCTAACAACGTAATCAGATAAAGACATGGACCCGGGGAAGGAAGCAGTTGCTATCAAATAATGGCGGCTCCTCCGTTTTTTTGAGAAAATGAAGGAAGTGAGGAAAAACCTGGTATCTGTGATCAGTTGATAAACCACAAGTAGTATGGAACAAGTCTTACAGCTTTAACCTGTGACAGTTATCCACCACTGTAAATGATATTCCCTTGATAATGGTACCCTGGAGGAAAGAGCCCCCTGGTAATGACTTTGTCTTGCTAAACTTCTGTCTTGTGATCACTTAATCTGCTCGCTCTCTTTCCTTTTAAATCATTTGACATCTCTAGATTGATAAAACTGGAAACAAATACAAGTCTTGGCTTACTTGGGCAAACAATCTAATGATTATTGAACTTGTTCTGTATTTTGAGGGATAGACATAAAAGTGTAGAGAGCAAACATTCAAAATGTAAAGAAATTCCTTCTAGATTTTGAAAGAGCTAATACACGTTCATAATATGTAGCTTTACTAGTGATTCCTTTTTTTAAATCTAAGTAATCTAATTTAATCGTGAGAAACCCTGTGTTTCTCAGTAGCCAAGAAAAGCACACGCAGCTCTGGAGCAGGACATTGGGAAGATTTTCCTTTCCAAGTTGGTGCATTGGCGTTCTAATGCCTCTTACCCCTAATGCTGAAACTTTGAATGTGCCACTGTGAACTCCATGTGCATTTCATC